ACCGGACATGCAGGGCCGCCCCTCCCTACAGGCCAATCACGCAGGCTGCATGGGGCCCCACCTTGCGCAGGGGGCCCCGCCCAGAGGGCCTCAGCTGCTGTGCTCAGTTCTCCGCGCACCCCCCGCGAGAGTGAGAGTGAGAGATGACAAGGGGAGCATGTCTGTAACCCGACACCGTTGCAATGTCACCGACATCTGACCAATCACGGCTTTGATACGGCCACTAGTGCAGGTAAAGAGATGTCGGTGAAAAGACAGTTTCAGTCCGGCGCAAAAAACAAAACATGAAGAAACTAGAGCATCACTCAAAGGTGGGTTATTATTGTATGAGTCAAATGTACAACTTGCGAATGTTGTATAAGTCAAATTGCCAATTGCCATATTAAAACATCAGCTGCAATTCACGACATTAAGAAGGCAGTCTCTGCATAGCATATATTATAGGCTAATGGAGATGCAGTTATTTCCAGCATTCTTTATTTACCATTCATTCAAGTATGTGATGCCTTTTATCTGCTAATGTACAGGAGGAAGAGTGATAAACTGTCTGTCTAGTTGGCTTACATAACAGTTAAAGTTTACAGCCTAAAAAACATGGAGCATTTTTTCCCCTTTTATTCATTTTTATGTCAATTTGCACATTTCATGGTGACGCTCAGCCTCTCCCCTTAACTCCTAACAGTCATCATCATGTCAACCACAACACAGAGAAATACTGATAGAAATGTGTGTCTAGTTGTTGATGCATTGCTGACAGAGGGAACTAGAATACAGATTTAAGAAATATCAGTTTTTGAGCATGTCATAAGCATGTTTTGTCTTGACTATTACAACTATATTACAATACAATAATATAGTATTTTTATTATTGAATTTATTATGATTATCATTCTTAGTAGAAGTAGTTTATTTGCATTAATTATATTTTAATGTTTTTGAGGCTAGTATTTGGCAGGAAATGCAGACGTATTCACCTGTAAACGCATACTGAACGACATACATACATTTACCATTTACCTCATTGTATAAAAAAGTAACTGTTGATAATAATAATAATAATAATAAACAGGAATTATATTTGCAAACATTTTTTCACTCCTGTCGGTTGGGGGGAGGGCCTCATCTTACAATGTCGAGGCAAGGGGCGGCCCTGCGGACATGTCACCCATTGAGCATGTTTGGGATGCTCTGGATCGGCGTATAGGACAGCGTGTTCCAGTTCCTGCCAATATCCAGCAACTTGGCACAGCCATTGAAGAGGAGTGGACCAACATTCCACAGGCCACAATCAACAACCTGATCAACTCTATGCGAAGGAGATGTGTTGCACTACGTGAGGCAAATGGTGGTCACACCAGATACTGACGGGTTTTCGGACCCCCCCCAGACCCCCCCAATAAAGCAAAACTGCACGTTTCAGAGTGGCCTTTTATTGTGGCCAGCCTAAGGCACACCTGTGCAATAATCATGCTGTCTAATCAGCATCTTGATAAGCCACACTTGTGAGGTGGGATGGATTATCTCGGCAAAGGAGAAGTGCTCACTATCACAGATTTTTTCAGATTTGTGAACAATATTTGAGAGAAATGGTTATTTTGTGTATATAGAAAATGTTTTAGATCTTTGAGTTCATCTCATGAAAAATGGGAGCAAAAACAAAAGTGTTGCATTTATATTTTTGTTCAGTGTAGTAATAGGGATAGAGTGAGTCAAAAAAACACATGGCTTCCACCCAGGACACAGCCGTTTGTGTACAGTGTGAAACCAAAAAAGTAACTGTTTACTTTTTTAACTTACTCTTTAACTTATGTACTTAACTAACAGCACATATATACATTTATACCAGTTCGTAGCCAGTGCCAGATTGCGAACTAGTTTTTCGTGTTTCCGCCACAGCCGTGCTGGCTCTCGGCCCTGTAAACCAACTCTAAACCAAAAAAGCAATAGCTCCGACATAGAATGGTACTGATTTTTGAGGAAAAAAGGGGTAATAGTAACTTTATAATAGCTTCCCTTTTAGAACCCAAACTATGATATTTCCTTAAACCAAGATGTTTTGTCTCCCAAACGGGTTCTATAATACCAATGCTGTTTGAAATTGAGGCAATTTTTATGTTGTGTTTAGGTTAAAACAAAGAGTATTTCCAAAGAGCACTTTTTGATTTTGATTCAGCGGCCTAGCTTCATAAATCAAAGGCACAACATAAGGGAACAACTCAATTCCCTTTACTAGGTCTTTACGTTTGTGAGTGTGTGTGTCTTTGTGTGAGGGAGAGCATGTGCTTCACTAATTAGACTCATAAAAGTAACACACGGCAACATGTTCACCAACCTGGATTTCCACATCTAAGGTTGCCACGGGAAGCAGACACAACAACACCCAACAGCCTTTTAAAACTAAATCTTTACAGATGTTTTGACTTTTTGGTCAACTAAAATGTCCAATCCAATGATTGTAGGCAAACTAAACCTTGGTTTGAAGCAGTGAAGGATTTGTTTATGTTTTGTTTATTTGATTCACTGAACTGAAGGTAGACATCAACAGCATGTAGTTAAATGTTTCTGATTCTGTATTTGACTAAATTGTACTTTAAAACATTGACACCCGGTTTAACCTCAGGATCTGTGTTGCAGGATGTGCTGGCTCTAACAGCCTTGGCTCAGCTGGAACCATTCTTAAAGTATCACATTGCATTATTGAAATGAAAATAACCCCTCCTCCATTTTGGTTGTGTCCGATTCCAGGCGTCCCATCCCACGCAATTATTTTACAATAATGTTTTCATGCTCTAGTATTTCAAAAAGGAAGATCTCAGACTCTAGCAATATCAGAAAATAAAATAATTTAAAGAAAAAAAAGTGTTGTTTAAACACTTGTATGTCAGAGGGGATAATAAAATGTAAAAAATGCTTGATGCTTGAATGGGCATTCACATACAACTATTTGGGGAAATGTATTGCTTTTTTCTAAATTACACCCATATTACACATGAATACACCCCTATTACATGACTAGACACCATTATTACACCCGTATTGCTCTGTTATTATACCATGTTACACAAATATTGTATAATAACAGCATTATGCCCTTATTATACCCATGTTCCGACCATGTTACACTGTTATTACAACCATATAAGACTGTTATTAGACCAATACTACACCCATGTAACACCAATATCACACACATATTACAGTTTTTAGACCCATATTACACACTTAATTTACCCATGTTACATTGTTATTACACCCATATTAAATAGAAATTACACTGTTATTACACCCATTTTAGTCATGGACACAGCCTTTCCAATGACTGTTTCCCAATGATGTAGAAACCATCTAAGGGTTAAGATATGTTAATGTATGTTTTCCTTCAAACACACAACCAGAATCTACAGCAGCAACAGACCAGCACTTCAGAGCTCATTTCTAACTATTGTCTCTGCTTTGAAAAACTGGAATAAGTGTTCCATCAGGGCCTACTAGGGAGCAGAGACGGCATGCAGCAGTTTGCAATCACCATCACTCTGCCTCCATGACACAAAAGGGAGACTTCCACCCAGCAAGCATTTGATTAAAACCACAGCAGAACATCAAGTCTCATTTTTGTCCCAATGCCACACATGGCATCAAGAGGCTGTGCAGCGCAGCAGATGAGTGCAATGTACTACTATGTGTTGGTCTGTGAACATGAGGTCGTCATGGATACAGATGTAGGACAAGTGTCTTGACATGCCAAAGTGATGATAAAATGAAATTAGCTTTTGGGTTATTAGTGGATGATGGTTTATCTGATATTGAGGGCATACAAAACGTATATATTGTGAGGAAAATGATTACCATAAATACACAACTATAGTTTCCTTCCGCAGATCATTAATACTTTTTCCGTAGTACTGTATTGTGTAAGCCCATTTGTGCCCACAATTGGCAATTTGAATTTCCTTTGATGGATTGATGTTCTCTTGACTTCTCTAAGAATAAATAGAAAGACATTTTCGAAATCTGTTTTTTAAATCATAACATATTTCCTATCTGGGACATGTAACTACTTGTAGTTATTTCTATGAATACTTCATTATTTTTTGGGAAAAAATACATGTGTCCCATGTGCACAAAGACTGAAAAAAAAAGTCTGTATCTCAGAAATGACTTGATTTAAAAATATTTTTGAAAATGCTGTGTTCCTAGATACTTGCACAAAGTATGTCAAGACTTCTTTTCTAATCATCATACATTTTATGGCATTTTTCTTTATTGTACAATATAACATTTTCAGGCACAAATAACTGAAGTATTTTGTTATATTTTAATAGTATGTTAAACAAATAAGCTTATTACTGTTTTGACTCTGAACTGATTACGTTTAAGTTATCACATCAGTGGTTGATTCTGAAATTCAATAATGAAAGCAGTTTATTATTAGTTATACATTGTCATGTATTACACACTCGCACATGCACGTTGTTATGTAATGCTGCACCTGCCACTGGTTTTTAATAATTCAAAATTATACTCAATCATATAGCCAGTCATTTTTTATTTACTGCACATACTTTCATGATTGGAGGCAGAGCAGGTTGGACCCAAATGCACAAGGTTTGAACAACAAAAGAGTGTACCTTTAATCCCAGGTTAGGCAAAGCAGGGCAAGGCAAAACAAAAGTAAGAAAACTCTGTAACACACATTAAACAGTACATTTCCACGATTGACATACAACATACATGCAGGACTAATAACAAGGACAGGACACAGCTGGAAGGGAGGGCTAAACACAAAGGCACCAGGTGAACAGAATCAGGTAATCAACCAGCAGGGACAACACAGAGACAGGAAGTCAAAATAGACATGATACAGGGGGTGAACATTTTTCAAAATCACACAGATCTTGACACATACTGTATGCCATAATTTCACTTTTTTTTTTCATCAAGTTGACCTCAAATAAAATGTATGAAACTATGAGTGAACATGTTGTTTCCTCCAGTCTGACTCATACTCCATCCTGACAGACTCCTGGGGTTTTCAGATATTGAGCAGACCCCTTGTTGATCGGAGCTGTTGAGGCGCGAGCAGGGGAGAGCATGCGGAACAGACCCCCGTCGCGTATTAATGCCTCCATCCTGTTGGGAGGACGGGTCGCCCTGGAGACCAGACGCAGGTATCCTAGCAGGGGTGCAGAGATGATGCCCTGCGAGCCTCTTTTCAGGGAAGAGCTGTTTGTGTGGATCATGTTATTGAGTGAGAGAAACATGCAGGGGCATTTCCTACTGCTCCTCCAGGCTGTCATGGTTTTATAGCCAGAGGTCATTGTGTTCTGAGGGTTGAGGGTTCAAATCCCCAGACTATATAGGGTACTACTGCATAAGGTTTAGGTAAGGAAATACAAAATGTATGAGTCTCTACATGCAAAATTATTGTTTTTGAATCACTGGTCTATATTTTGGGAGTTTGGTATTGCTTCAGTAACACTGTCTTCAAACCAGTAATAAGAAAACATGCATAATGTATATTTAAGATGATTTAAAGCAACCCTATTCTGCTTTTTGGGGTTTCCCTTTCCTGTAGTATGTTATTTAGGTTTTTGTGCACATAAATGGTCTGCAAAGGCTAAAATCTCAAAGTTCCCTCCAGAGGGGGTGGTTATATATATTGCTTATATATATTGTTCATAGCCTCATTTTGTTTATATTTTATTCCTAAAAACAGTGTGAACATTTTATTTTTCTGTTTGCTAATTTGTATAGTGTGATATAAAGACATATCCAGAATTCCTACCTTAGACTTTAACACTTCAGCAAAGTTAAAAAGTAATTTTGAACCTGACTTTATTCAGTGTTCAGATTAGTGTTCAGGAAAAGTATTAAAATGAGCACATATTGTACATAAATATAAGACTAGGTTTATTTTTATATTTAAACAGAGACTCTCCTTTTGACCTGCGTTGTTTCACTTTTATAACACTCTCTTTGAGGTGCCCTCGAGCAAGGCACTTAAATGCAGCTCATTGGAGAAACTGACTGCCCAGCTTTTTAATATATATATATCCGCAAGCTATGAAACAGACAAATAATGTGCTTTAATCTATATGGAAATTCTTTAAGCATTGCATCAGCTCCTTCAATTAAATGCATCCCATATATGGATCTTTGGTCAGCTCTATTTTTTACACAATATAAAATAAACAATGTCGCTCAAAGGGAACGTACACCCTTATTTTCTTGGTATGTATGCTTTTTCTAAGCATACATACCCTTTTTTAGCCTCAGCTTTAAATCCAGTTAAATATTATATTCAACACATTTGAAACTTTTGTAGGAACAGCAGTATAATGTCAAGTATCTGCATTAAAAATGAGTTAATGGCGCCACCAAGAGGTCATTCATTGACAGTGACACAAGCATCTGTAGAACTCACCAATATACTGTATGCTTTATTTGTATTAATGAATACTGGAAACATTAAAGCAGCAATGATCATAACATTAAATAGACAAACCAGATTATACTATCTAATGTTCACTGAATGTTTCAGTATAGCAACAAAAACAGGATGTAGAAATAATTGTTATTATTTATTATATTAGAGTTCATAGCCTTTAAAATGTTTTATTCCAAACCTAAAATCTCAATTAATTCACATCGATATAAAAAAATCTGTGTAATATGTTGCCATGAACAACTTGATAACAAGTTTCAAATTGTAATTTTCTTTCTGCACCTGTGGCAATAGTTACATTTCCTTAATAAGTTGTCGTAAAGCTGTGGTTCAAACAGAGGTAAATTGACCGTGAACAACACAGATGTTCTATATTCCTGTCAAATTAAAATAAAAACCATCACAAAATACGCTGTACTTCACTTACTTCCAAAACTATCCTCACATTCTCTCCATTTTAACAGATTCCACTGGCGATTTCTTTAACTTCCTTTTTGTTTTCCATAGTCGATGTAAAACAAAGAATGCACCAAGCACACTTACAAGAAGAAATGCAAAAATCACATGGAGTGCAACTTCTGCATCATGAGTTGAAAGCTCCAGACCCAAGAAGTCCAACATGGACATGGGCAGAATAGCGGCAGTTGTATGGGGCATGGTCACAGCGGTGGTAGTTGTCACTGTTAAAAGACAGGGACAAGGGTTTGAATGACTCATACACAAGGACCTTACATTTTGACCATAAGTATCCCTCTTCAATCCTACAGTGATGGAATTGTTATTTGAATATGTGGACTGAGCAATACGTTACCTTCAGGGTTCAAACACTCATGAGGCCCGAGGGCTGGATCTGGGAAGCCATTGCAGGTGATGATAGAGGCATAGCGAGAAGCTGAGTTTTTAGGGATGCGAGGAAGGGTGGGGTCGGAGCAGTTCACAAAGAAAAGCCCAAATCGCTCCACATAGCCAGCGGCCGATTCAAAGTTGTCCATTAACGACCAGGCTGTATATCCTCTTAGATCAACTCCGTCAAGAACCTGGGCTGAAAGATCAACAATAAACACTGTTAACATTTATTATATTATATTCTCATAAATCCACTCAATGCTTTTTTTGTTTGTCTCTGTTACCTTTAAGGGCTTGATTGATATATTGTTCATAGAAGTACTTCCTGTGGACGTCATTCAAGTTCACTTCTCGCTCTGAGACCCCATTCTCTGTGACATAGATAGGTGGGTTTCCATACTCATCCTTAATACATTTGAGGAGTTTCCTAAATCCAAATGGAGTGATTTTTAGCCAGAAGGAGCCAGACTCAATCCAGGTGCGGTCATGGGAGGCTCCGGTGCCCCTGGATATTGGAAAGGACATTAGCTTCGCATCAGGGCGGCCATTTTAAGCTGAACAAAGTTTGGCATTTTTCTTGTATCAATATTCCACTTTACTAGGAGGTGCACAACAAACAACTATATCTAGGTGTCAAATGTTTATATTCCAACATACCTGTCACCTTCATAATCCTGCTGTTTTCCTAAATGAACTGGGTATGAAAGAACGGAGCAGTAGTGGTTGAGGCCAAAGTAATCATGGGTCCCATTGATCCTCTTGATTTCCTCAGGTGTAAACTCAGGAAGCCTTTATTAGAAAGATGGTTATTTTTTAATACCCAATCCATAATGTCTTCTCAAACCTTAAAACGCATTGGTTGCTTCTTCAAGCTAATTATTTTAGGATACTGAACCAAATAAGTAGAATATGACAGAATGCATTTATTTGTTAAGCCTTCATCCCCATTTGTATAAATTACCGTGATTCAGGGAGACCTACAGCAAGGCTTCTTTCACGAATAATTGTTTTCATTAACTCAGGATAGTCGCCTCTGAAGATTGGATGGGCAAACCAGCCGATGAAAAACTGTAAAGATCATATATCAGAAATGATACATTGTATGATGATTGAGTTGAATAAGGTGAGAGAAAACAACTGAATAATGTATAATGTCAAAATGTCATGCCAACCTGCAGGTAGCTGTTGGTTGCATCTACACATCCTCCTGCTTATATGGGTTTCTTGGCTCTGCCAAATCAGAATTGATGGTAATCGAGATGATGCCTTCCTGTGTTGCACGGTACTTGTCATTGTACAGATGCCATGCCTCAGCGTGGGCCTTGATAAGGTTGTGAGCAGCAATATACTGCCTATTGAAAATACCTGTAACATTTGAGGGGTTAATGAGATGGCTATCATACGTCATCATGCAGGGTCAATTTGAGATAAAGGGTTAGAGTTAGGGTTATGGTGTGTAAGAGTAACCCTTACAAAGTTAATCATTGTTAACAGAAAGTTGTTTGATTACCTGGAGCAAATGTACCATATCCGTAGCCAAGGTTGGCTACAATGTAGGGTTCATTTAGAGTGATCCAGAACTTCACCCTTTGTCCAAATCGGCTAAATAAAAGATCGGCATCACCTCTGAACCTCTGGACAATGGTTTCATTTTCCCAGCCCCCCACCTTCTGTAGAGCTAGGGGAAGGTCCCAGTGGTACAGGGTCAACTGGGAAACACAGGTGAGGAAAATGGACGAAAAGTAAAACAAATTAATCTTCCAGTAGAAGCCATTGAGGTCCAAAGTTTTTAAATACAGCACTACATCATGGAATATATTGATGGTTATAAACCACAGCACTGCCTACCTGGGGCTGAATATTAGCAGCTTCCAAGGCATCCAGTAATCTATGGTAATAGTTCACTCCAGCTTCATTGACGTGGTTGGTGGTCCCATCAGGGAGCACTCTGGGCCAGCATACAGAGAAGCGATAGTGGGTCACCTTCAACTTCTTTAACACCTCCACATCCTTGTCAATCTTGTTGTAACTATCACAAGCAATGTCGCCATTGTCACTGTTGAACACTTTCAACGGAGTATGGGCAAACTCATCCCATATACTCAGTCCTTTTCCATCGGCCCTCCAGCTTCCTTCAATCTGAAATAAAGTCATATAGTTAAAACTACCTTTGTGCTTCATGCCACTCAAGTGCACTGCCATTGTAGAATAATGAATGTGTAATGTTAGAGGCACTGGCAGTACTCCAATTAAACGTTTTTGGAAACTCTCCATAAAGTATCTTCTCGTCATCTGGTAATGGAAAGCCATTGTCCTTTATGACTTGATAATAATAGTGAGCAGAGCGTTTGGGTGTCCTGGGTTTGATTGGGTTAGTGAAGTCCACATGGTGGAGCCCAAATCCCACTTTGTACCCATTAGGCGCTTTCACACTGCGGTACTTTTCCCACAAAGGTTCATGTGAACTTAGTTCATGTGAACTCTTTAGTTCGCATGAACTAAGTACAGATCGCGTTCACACTGGAAAAAGTCCCTGGGGGTGGATTAGGCAAATGAAGCCGCTGACGTCACTTGTTCTTCTTCTGCTTGGGTTTACTGGCAGGGCCGCAAACCACTTCACGGCGTATACTGCCGCCCAAAGTCCCCGGCCGGAAGTCCCCGGAGTTAGGGACTGGCTTCAGTAGAAGCTGCTGGGACTCCCAGCAGCTTCTACTGAAGCCTTCCGAGTAAATCGCCAGAACGCCGACACCTCCTCATCTCCACCGCTCCCATGTTTTATTTTGTGTTGCCATAAGTTAGTCTCTCTGCGTTTCTGCGCTGGCTAATGCTAATGCTAATAATGCTAATGCAAGGATAATAAAATGGCGGCTTCACAAAACTTTTTGGGAGTTTTACGGGGCGTGGTTTGCAATCCTTCCAGCCAATCAGAAATGTAGCTCTTTTCTCACAAAAGAGCCGTTCGAAAGTCCCTGCTCTCTAGCAGGGACTTTCGAGGGGGTAAAAAGGTTCACATGAACTAATTTTATTACCGGCTCTTTATGGTGTGAACGCGATAAAAGAGTTCACATGAACTAAGTTCACATGAACCTTTGTGGGAAAAGTACCGCAGTGTGAAAGCGCCTATTGAGCCACTCAAAGGAATCCATGAGAGATGTTGCTATGTATCCTTTTACCTTCACAACATCAAGATTATGAGCTGTGAAAATATATAAGAACAATGGTAACATAATTAGAAATTAAAAACTGTCATTTGTGCATAGGCGGCTAATATTTAATGTTATATTTTTTGTCTCAAGTTCATTTATTTCTGTTTGTTTGTATCTGTCATACGATCATTTAAAATAACCACCTTAACATGACATATTTTAGCTTTAGCAGGATAAATTAAGGGGCATTACAAACGGAATTGTTTTTTACGTGAGTAACAGATGTGCACACTTACCCTTTAAAGCAAGGGTGGGGAACCTCCGGCCTCCGGGCTGTATACGGCCCGCGAGACCATTTGATACGGCCCTCGAGGTAATTTATAAATACACGCAAAAAATAAAGAAATTAAAGAAATCTAGACCGCAAAATAATTAAACAAGCGAGTGCCTGTTTTTCCTTGCTAAAGTCAGGGTCATTGAACACAACACGAGCCTAATGTGTCATCACGTGGGCCGCTCCGGCACTTCAGATAAGGAGCCGTACACATGCCGCAGTTTTTGCGTGGCTGTGTCTTTAGTTGAAAGCCCAGTGGCGATCTGTTCATCTGTCACACTGATCATACAGTCAATAACTTTGTTGTTATTAGCATCTGGTTAGCTAGCTATGCTAACGAATATGAGAAGCTTTTTCTCCAACCAGTGAGGTAAAGGCACATCTTTATATGATCATTATAGTTATAAAAAAATAAGAGAATAAAGTAAACGGGTATAAAATACTATATGACAGTAAAAAAAAGTTGTTATCAATAAACAAGAATACAATTTGAAAGGGGAGTGATTTGTAAAATATCCATAAAGAAAAAGAAGATATGCTTCCAGTTCTGTTTCATATGGATGTTGAGAGATGGATCCATAGATCTCTTCATGTCCAGATTGATGCTTTTAACTTCAACATTTAAAAAAAAATCTTCCTGGGGGAGCATGCCCACGGACCCCGTTAGAGGAGGTTAGCCCCCCCCCCCCCCCCCCCCCCCCCCCCCCCCCCCCCTTAAATCATGTTCACATGGTTAGGACACTAAATATATTACATTACATGTCATTTGTTAGACGCTTTTATCCAAAGCGACTTACATACATTCAGTACTGTGGACAATCCCCACAGGAGCAATTTGGGGTGAAGTGTCTTGCCCAGGGACACAATGAGATGCTGACTGCAGTGGGACTCAAACTTACCCTGATTCGAAGTCCTTTGCATTGAATTTGCACACATATTGTGTCCATATCTTTCTGTTTTGGTGGTCATGCCACAACCATGCACGTGCATGCATGCGTCAGTCATGGTAAGATATCTGGATTAAAAGGTTGCTTTTTCTTTGCACAGCATGAAAGAAAGGCCAAATGAATGGGCTGTGATTTTAGTTTTTTTAAGCAGAGGTCAATAATTTGTACGGCCCTCGGAGGATGTTGAAAAAATTGAAATGGCCCTTGAGAGGAAAAAGGTTCCCCACCCCTGCTTTAAAGCCTCATCAACATAGGTTTTGTAGTAAAATACTCTGTCAATGTCATCAACTGTAGTCATAATGTCTGTAGCTACTCCATTCTCTGTAATGTAAATCTCTGGATCTCCATACTCCTCTTTGATCCAGTTGAGCAGTCTCCTTAAGCCCCATGCGACAGCTCTCTGCTTACTGATGGCAAGGGCGGGGGGGCCAGGGGGCCATTGGCCCCCCCACTTTTCAGCCCTGCCCCACATTTTCGCAGCAGCAGATTTTTTTTCTTTTTTTTTCTTCTTTTCAGTCTTTATTTCGAACAGATTCAAAAATAAAAAATAACAAATGTTAAAAACAGAATACCGTATTGTTATAATACAGTATTTATCCACATTCATGGTAATATTTGTATATTCAACAAAAAAAACAAAAAAAGTCTTCATATTAATAATAAATCATATGTGTCCGAAAGGGAGTAGGAGGAAGCAAATGCTTATTAATTCCCACCCCTTACTTGATCAATGATTGTCCTTTAAATCATTATGCAAGTCATTCCTACTTAGATTTACATTTATACATACATATACAATCATTTCTCATCTTCAATCACCTTCTTCATTCTCATAGTTTTCCAAAAAAGTGTTTCTGTACATCCTTTTAAACTGAATTATGCTTGTGCTTTGTTTGAACTCCTGCTCCAAACCATTCCATAAAATCACCCCACAGATTGTTATACTCATACTTCTCAGAGTTGTTCTGACCTTGAGTTGTTTAAAATGTAGATTTCCTCTCAAATTATACCCACCCTCTCTGTCTATGAACAATGTTTTTAATTTCCTAGGAAGTAGATTATGTCTGGCTCTGTACATGATTTGTGCCGTTTTAAATTTAACCAGATCAATGAACTTCAATATGTGTGACTTCAAAAAGAATACATTAGTGTGTTCAAGATATTCAACATTATTGATAACTCTTATAGCCCTTTTTTGTAATGTGCATAACGGCTGTAGGTTGGTTTTGTACGTGTTTCCCCAAATCTCCACACAGTAAATCAGATATGGTAATATTAGTGTGTTATATAGAGTATGCAATGAGTTGTAGTCCAGAATGTATCTGGCTTTTCCCAATATTGCGATAGTTTTAGCCAGTTTTGCTTTTACATGAGTGATATGAGGTTTCCAGCTGATTTTGTGGTCTAAAACCACACCAAGGAACTTAATTTCATATACTCTTTCTATGTGTATGTTATCTAGTATTAATTGTATCTGTGGATTTGTTTTATGTTTTCAACAAATTCAACAAATTGTTGTCTGTTGCTTAAATAATCTCTCACCCAGTTTAATCCCACCCCTCTGATGCCATACCGTTCCAGTTTTATCAGTAAAATATTGTGATCTATGGTGTCAAATGCTTTTTGTAAGTCTATAAATATTCCCACTGCTTGTTTTTTATTGTCCATGCAGTTTGCTATTTCCTCACTTAATTCCATTAGTGCCATAGATGTTGATCTATCTTTCCTGAATCCATATTGACTGTCGTCCAAAAGCTGATGTGTTTCCATGAAACTGTGCCGCGGAAAACTGTACAAATCCCGTTTCAATAATTCCCCTCTACTCTAAAGTCGCATCTAAAACGTGATCTGATCTAGCTGTGTATATTTTGTTATTTTTGATTGTTATATTCAATCTCACTAGCTACAGGCATGTTTGAAGCTTGTGAAGGGAAGATGACAGCTCTCGCCACTCTGCTGTTCCTCAGCGCCGCCCCCCTCCCTCCCGCTGAAATTATGAATGTAAGGTGTATAGTAATCATAGATAACACGGCAGGGTCCATTACAGTTTGTTTTTATCTGATTTCAAATAAGCAAAGTCTTGGGTTTCAGAATGTTAAACTTGTTTCGGCAAATTCAGATGATACATAGGCCTACAACTTTGAAGCTTGTGACGGCATAATTACAAGCGGAGAACGGAGTAGCTTAACGTCACAGCAGCCATAACAATAGCCGGTGTTTCTCGTGAGTGCATAATCCAAACGAAAATATCTTCTCTCCGTAGTATTTTGATCATTTGCTCCGCTAATAATCAATCATGATGATTGATGATGAGAAATGATGGATTCCAGAGAAGAGAAAACTTTAAAGGCCTTTTTCTCAAAATGATGACTCTGTAACAGTCATTATATAATGTGACATATTTTGCTTAATATTTGGAGTACAAAAACAATCCTCATATCATTAGAAAGCTAGGAATCAAAATATGTCTTCGGGTCAATGCGACTGATTTCGATGGAGCAGCAGGTAACTTTGCATTAGGTAAAATAAAGCAGGCAGACATAACAGGAAGAATATGTACATTTTAACCCAATCAAATAGGACATTGTCACACCATTCAAATGTATCCATGTAAATTACAACCAATAAAAAAGCTTAGATTTGTTTATTTGTTACGTTGTTTACTTTATTTGTTACGTTGTTCTGTGTGTGTCAGCCGTTAACCTAGAAATAATATATACACTTGCAAACATGTCAGAAGAACCAGCGCAGAAGAAAACTAAATGTGACCCGCTCTATCGAAATCAGTCGGACGTCGCAACGGCTCATTTCAGAATAAACGTGGATTTACGTAAAAAACTATTTTTTCAGGGTTCGGGTGTTTTGTTTGATTTTAAACAAACAAAGTCTTGGCTTTCAGAATATGAAACTTTTATTTCCAAAATCACACGATAAATACATTTTTGAAGCTTGTAAAGGGAAGATAACAGGCACCTCTCACTCGCAATCTGCTCTTCCAGCAAAGCCGCCCCCCTCCATCCGCTGAAATTATGAATGTTAAGAGTATAGTAATCATAGATAACACGGCAGGGTCCGTTACAGTTTGTTTTCATCTGATTTTAATTAAACAAAGTCTTGGCTTTCAGAATATTAAACTTGTTTCGGCAAATTCAGATGATAAATACAACTTTGAAGCTTCGGTATAATTACAAGCGGAGAACGGAGTAACTTAACGTCACAGCAGGCATAACAACAGCCGGTGTTTCTTGTGAGTGTTTTCCCCGGGAAACAAACACAATACACACAAACGCAAAATTACACAAACACACACGTATACACACACACACACACACGTATACACACACACTCGCGAGCTTCCCCTCCAAACGAAAATATCTTCCCTCCGTAGTATTTGATCATTTGATCCACTAATAATCAATCAGATCGATGGATTCCAGAGAAGAGGAAACTTTTAAGGCCTTTTTCTCAAAATGAGGACTCGGTGATAGTCATTATATAATGTGACATATTTCGCTTAATATTTGGAGTACAAAAACAATCCTGATATCATTAGAAAGCTAGGAATATCCTCTTTCCAACCGTGTATACAACTCAAAATGTGTCTTCGGGTCAATGCGACTTATTTCGATGGAGCAGGTCACAAATACAGTCAATAACTTAAATGTAACAACTGGAACGTCACATCCCTGACATCCACATCTCCGGAGCCTGGACCTTCATCAATCATAGAAACAGCGAAGCCAGATGAACCCAAAAGCAGCACCTCTGCGGCCGCAGAAACTGTCAAAACCGCCGCCGCCGCCCCCGTCGTTGAACCGAAACAGGCTGGTTCCGACTGCATGGAGGTTTGTTGTTGGGACATTGAGGCGGGTAAAGCTGTACAGCTAACTATCGGAAAAAAGGAGACCGCTAGTAGATTATTTGAGCAAAGAGAAGGTACTTCAACGCAGAATGGTACAAAAACAGAGAGTGGTTCATTCTTTGCAAAACCACTAAACGATAGTGATAAATTGCGATGTTAACAACCTCATGATAACCTCATATTTTTTTTAACTTAGGATCATACCTGTGTTTAGTCTAGAAAAAGGTAAATGTGTGCATTTTATTATAAAGTTGTGTATATTTACAGACTATTGCAAAAACTAAGCTTATAAACATCAGGTTTAAAACTAAAAGAGCTTTACAAAAAAGTAACCAAAGATGTTTGGAGTTTTATTTGAGTTATTCATTTACATTTTTTGTCTAAGAGATGCTGATTTGAAACCGTTGTTAGGCCTACATACAGTTACGCATTTCCTGTTTCTGCCAGAGAGAGGGGAGTTTGTCCCAAAGCTTGCTGCTGTATTTACTCCCTCCATCTGACAGACAGGAGGGAGCCTCATGTGTCACTCCACGGAGTTCACTCCGTCACGGAGGGTGTGTGTATAGGTGTAGGGCGTGGTTTGGGATTGGGCCATACACACGCACTTTTTTTGGCCCCCCCACTTCTAAAATGAATCCGGCGCGCCTGCAGTAGTTGGTGAATCACTTTCCTCTGCTTCTGACAAGTCCTGGTCATATAAATATGATTGAGGGCTAAGCCGGGCAGTATCATGGCTTACTATCTTTGTAGTGTAATGATTTACACAGAACATGTCAGCAGTTCCCTTGATGAACATCTTTTCTTCTTCAGTGAATGAAGGTAGTCTTGTCTCTTTAAGATCTTGGAGCTCACTTTTGTTTCCAACTTGCCATTTCATGGCATCAGGATAGTCACCGTTCTTGAAAATAGGGTGTGCAAACCAACCTAATTGGAACTGCAGAGCTAGAGTCAGCAGCCACCACTTCACGAGGAACATTAACATCTTTAGTTTCAAACCAATCAGCATTAACGGCAATGGATATAAGACCACCTTGGGATGCACGATACTTATCATCATATGTGTGGTAAGCCTTGGCGTGGGCCTTTATAAGGTTGTGTGCAACTCTGTATGGTGCAATTCCTGGATTTGTAACATTGGGTGGGACCTGTCCAAGTCCATATGCTGACCACGCAATTGTATGAGGCTGGTTGAAGGTCATCCAGAATGTCACTCTGTCGCCAAAGGTGGCAAAGCAGAAGTCACAAAAGTCGTTAAAAATGTTAATCATCTCTACATTGTCCCAGCCACCAAGTTTTTGCAAAGCTTCAGGAAGGTCCCAGTAGTAAAGTGTCACCATGGGAGTGATGCTATATGCTAAGAGGCCATCAATGAGTCTATTGTAATAGTCAACACCTTTCTGGTTCAGAGATGTACGCTGACCATCAGGAAATATCCTGGACCAGGACAAAGAGAATCTGTACGACTTCACCTTCAGAGCACGCAGCATGTAGAAGTCTTCTTCAAGTCTGTTGTAGCTTTCACAGGCCACATCTCCATTAGCATTATCAGGAATATTGCCATTTTGGGTGAATGTATCCCAGACGCTGGGCCCCTTCCCATCAGCATTCCAGCCACCTTCAATCTGGTAGGCCGAAGATGATACTCCCCAACTGAAGCCTTGTGGGAAAGTGCCGTAGTGGTAGAGTTTTCTCTGGAAATTGGTTTGGCTGGAGAACTTCCTCCAAACAACCCTGGCTTTGGATGGGACGGTGGAAGGGGGGATTGAGGTATTTTGTTTTGACTCTGTGTTTTTCAGTTCTGGTGCATAAAAAAACAGTTTTTTTGCAGCAAACCCATTATTCTTAATAACTGAGGAGTAAAAGTAGGCAGACTGCTTTGGAGTCCTGGGCCTGTCAGGCAGGTCAAAGTTGACATGGTGCAATCCAAAACGTTCACTGTAGCCTTGTGGACCTTCAAAATCAATCAATCAATCAATCAATCAATCAATGTTTATTTATATAGCCCAATATCACAAATGTTACATTTGTCTCAGTGGACTTTACAGTTTGTACAAAATATCAGTATGACAATACGACACCCTCTGTCCTTAGACCCTCACATCGTACAAGGAAAAACTTCCGAAGAAAACCCACAGTTTATAGGGAAAAATGGGAGAAACCTCAGGGAGAGCAACAGAGGAGGGATCCCTCTCCCAGGACGGACAGACGTGCAATAGATGCCGTGTGTAAATTGAAAAGATAATACATTTGCAACATAGGTAGTCCAAATGTTTGGAAATGCATGTGTGTATAATAGGAAGATGAATCCACGAGGATATCCATCCAGGACCACAGCCACGACTCAAGATCCAGGGCTCGCGATCCAGGACAGAGGAGCGCAGGATCATCCATGACTCCGGATCCCGGCGTATATAGACACCAAAAAGAAAGACATTTGGGGAAGCTGGGTTAATCGGAACATGAGAGTACACAGGTATAGACAGAGAGAAGGAAGAAGTAAGATGTCCCCCGACAAACTAAGCCTATATCAGCAAAACTAGGGGCTGGATCTAATCAGCCCTAACTATAAGCTTTATCAAAAAGGAAGGTCTTAAGGGCTTTGTAGGCGAGAAGAAGAATTTTAAATTATATCCTGTGTTCTATAGGGAGCCAGTGTAAGGCAGCCAGAACAGGAGTAATGTGGTCCCTTTTCCTAACTCTGGTTAGTACACGAGCTGCAGCATTTTGAATCAGCTGAAGCGACTTGACTGACTTCTTGGTACACCCTGATAATAAAGAGTTACAATAATCCAGCCTTGAAGTAACAAATGCATGGACTAGTTTCTCTGCATCGTTTTGAGGCAAGATATGCCTGATTTTTGCAATGTTACGTAGATGGAAGTAGGCGGTCCTTGAAATTGATTTTATGTGGGCGTTAAAGGATAAATCCTGATCAAATATAACACCAAGATTCCTTACAGTCTCACTGGAGGCCAAATTAATGCCATCCATAGTTAGTATATCCTTAGATAATTTGTTTCGTAGATTCTTCGGGCCAAGTACAATAACTTCAGTTTTGGTCGTGTTTAACATCAAAAAGTTTAAGGTCATCCACGTTTTTAAGTCCTTAAGGCAGTCTTGAATTTTATTTAGATGATTAATTTCATCAGGCTTGATTGATAAATATAGTTGAGTATCATCCGCATAACAATGAAAATGTACAGAATGATTCCTTATAATATTGCCTAACGGAAGCATATATAATGTGAACAAAATAGGTCCGAGCACTGAGCCCTGTGGCACTCCATGGCTAACTTTGGTTTGCGTGGAAGATTCATCATTGACACGTACAAACTGAGAGCGTTCAGATAGATAGGACCTAAACCAGTCTAAAGCAGTTCCCTGTATGCCAACTAAGTGCTCTAGTCTTTGCAATAAGATATCATGGTCGATAGTATCAAATGCAGCACTGAGATCGAGCAAAACAAAGATAGAGACACGTCCCTTGTCAGAGGCTATTAGATTGTCATTTGTGACTTTAACCAGAGCTGTCTCTGTGCTATGATGTGTTCTAAAGCCAGACTGAAAATCTTCAAATAAATCATTGTTTTTTAAGTAATCCCACAACTGTTTTGCGACCGCTTTCTCAAGAATTTTTGAGAGGAACGGAAGATTGGAAATAGGTCTATAATTGGCTAAAACCTCTGGATCGAGGTTGTGCTTTTTAAGAAGCGGTTTTATCACTGCTACTTTGAATGATTGTGGAACATAGCCTGATAATAAAGACATATTCATAATATTTAATAAATAAGTGCTAATTAATGGAAAAACTTCCTTCAACAGCTTAGTTGGAATTGGGTCTAACATACACGTTGATGGTTTAGAAGAGAGAATCATTGAATTTAATTGTTCAAGGTTTATGGCTGAAAAGCATTCTAGTTTACTATCTAGTGTAATATTAGAACTTACGTTTCCGGGAGCTGTTGATAACACTATACTGGTCAAAGGCAAGAGGTCATTAATTTTGTTTCTAAGAGTAACAATTGTATCGTTAAAAAAGCACATAAAATCATTACTACTGAGTGCTATGGGAATAGAAGGCTCAATCGAGCTGTGGCTTTCTGTCAACCTGGCTACAGTGCTGAAAAGAAATCTTGCATTATTCTTATTCTCATCTATTAATGAAGAGTAGTAGGCTGCTCTCGCTTTACGCAGTGCTTTCTTATATTCATTGAGAGTAATATGCCAAATTAAACGCGATTCTTCAAGTTTAGTGGAACGCCATATCCTTTCAAGTTGTCTCGACTTTTGCTTTATTTTGCGGGTTTCGGCATTATGCCATGGAGCTAATCTATGTTGTTTTATTTTCATCTTTTTTTTTAAAAACCATCCATGAGTGACTGGACAGTAAACCGCTGCACATTTACCCCATCCAAATGTATAGCTGTGGAGAGAATAACGACATTCAGCTACTAAAACCAATTTGTATGAGACATTTCGAAAATGTGCAACAATACCATAAACAAGTCTGCAACGGATGGCCAAATGCATATTACTGATGTTTGGTGTAAAAGCCTATGTATAAATAAAGGCACATTCAATTAAGTCAACTAGTTTAACCAACATACCTTTAAGGGCCTCATTGATGTAACTCTTCATATAGTCTATTCTACTGACATCATTCCCCAATGTCCCCAATGTGCTCAGTAGGCATACCATTCCCAGTAATGTGGATTGGCACTTTGATCATGTTCAAATACTCTATGGAAATGTAGTTTAAAAGCCTTCTGAGACCCCAAGGTGCAGAATATATCCAGTCAGAAGCTGTTGAGGACCATGAGGGATCTACGTGTGACTGGAAGTTGCCAACACCCTGAGGACCAGGGGTGCAGCCACCAGCACTGTTGTTGACTAACCGGGAGGTATAATGGTTTAATCCAAAATAGTCAGCGGTTCCGTGTATCCTCTTCCTCTCTTCAGCTGTGAAGACTGGGAGTCTTGCAGGTTCAGAGAGAGGACACTCTTTTCTTTTCTGTTCAATTTGAGTCTTGAATGCTGCAGAATAATCTCCATCGACAAATATGGGATGTGCAAACCAGCCCAGCATGAACTGTAGGTAGCGATCTGCAGCTGCGATGTCTTCTGGTCTGGAGGGGTCCAGGGGTTCAGCCCAGTCAGAGTTCAATGCAATGCCCACTCTGCCTCCTTGTGTCTTCCTGTACTTCTCATTGTAGACATGCCAGGCCTCAGCATGGGATTTGATCATGTTGTGAGTCGCCTGCAAAGATAACATAAATAATGAGGTAATTGCATGAGGTTGGCTGTGTGTCATTATGTATTTACAATATAATATACATATTGCCCTCACCTGATAGGAGGCCACCACATAGTCTTTCACTCCTGGGGCATGCTCACCAGTGCTGTACCCAGCATGGCTCACCACCCAGGGGCTACTGAAAGTGTTCCAGGTCTTGACTCCGAACCTGGAGAAGCAGAAATCTGCGTAGTCTTTGAAGGCTTCAACAATGGAAGCGTTGGTCCATCCACCACAGTCCTGGGGGGCCTGGGGCAGATCCCAGTGGTAGAGAATGACAACAGGTTGTATACCAGAATCAATGAGAGCATTGATCAGCTTGTCATAGTAGAGAGCACCTTTCTCCGACTGACTGCCCCGGTGGCCCGAAGGGAAAATACGAGCCCAAGAGATGGAAAACTGGTAGGTGTTAACATGAAGACCTCGCAGGAGGTAGACATCCTAATCCACCTTGTGGTAACTGTCACAAGCGAGATCAGCGGTCTGATTGGCAAAGACCAGGGGTAGGCAAGTAAGTTTGGCCGTGGGCCAATTTTTTGCTGAGCCGCAAGATGGCGGGCCAGAACATAATCAAAGCCTAATTCAAGGAATTGATTTTGGTAAGAGGGCGCAGCGCCCCTGTTCAGAAAAAAACTCTATCGCTGATGACCCTCCCCATCAACACTCTGATGCGCAGTCAGATCCGCTGATTGGTTCACTGATGATATAGGCGCCCAATCCAGAGCCTCTGGCTAGACCCGCCCAAAGGGAGACTCGTCCTCTCTAGCCCCATTTCAGTCCCAAAGCCAGGGCTATTATCTGTATTTTAACAGACTTATCTTTTAAATTGAGGTGTATTTATTGTTCTCTTCAAAGTTTATTTTTCTCTGAAATTGTAGGGAGGATGGTCCTCCCTTTCCTCAATGGACGAGGCTCCACTGAGTAAAGTAGAGTTATTAACTAGCAGTGTTATTTAACATTTTATTCTGATAAGTATTGTCAAGTTCTCTGGGTTTTTGGCATTTATTTGAGTGTTTGCACATTTGAGAGGCTTGAGGGGCAACAGAGGACGCATGGACAACTGGAATCCTCTTTCCTTTTCTTTATTTAAACTTTTCAAGGACACATTAGGATTCTTTCAGGTTGAAAACCTTTAAAAAATACCAAAGGACAAAATAAATCAATTACAGCATTTTGCTTTGCAATTTAATATATTATAACCTAAATTAATCAGTAACCAAGTATTTTACTCAAACTCAATGTATTTAATATATAGTTAAATAAGTACTTTAATTGACCTGGTTCCCCCCAATTTGCCATATGTGACCCGCTCTATCGAAATCAGTCGATAGTCGCAACGGCTCATTTCAAAATAAACGTGGATTTGCATAAAAAACTAGTTTTTCGGGGTTCGGGTGTTTTGTTTGATTTTAAATAAAAGTCTTGGCTTTCAGAATATGACATTTTTATTTCCAAAATCACGCGATAAATACATGTTTGAAGCTTGTAAAGGGAAGATGACAGCTATCCCTCGCCACTCTGCTCTTCCACAGCGCAGCTTCCCCTCCCTCCGCTGACATTATGAATGTAAGCGGATATTTCGGGACAGAATTTATTTTACCGTAATTTGAAACTTACCGGTCATGTTTCAATAATAAGAATAAGAATGGTGTAGCAGAGTTTCCGTTAGCAGGTAATCACCGGACTATGACCAGATATGCTGATGTTTAAAACTCAGTTAATGGGGCTCATTTTTATATTGCTTCAGTATATAATCGTTACAGATCGAAAAGTTCAGATTCATTTTTCAATAAATGATTCCACAATCAACAAACAACGTAATTATTACATTCAAACAAACTACTTGTAGTAGATGAAGTACATTATTCAAAAGTTTACATTAACTTTGAATAATAACACGGGAGAAACGAATGCTCTCTTTTCCCCTCTCCCTCCCTCCCTCTCTCTCTCTCCTGACAGCCCGTCAGTTTCTCAAGCAGCTCGCTAAACAGTGGGCGGGGCTTCAGGTGATTATGCAGAGCTGCATGTCTCCGTCAGACTCAGCAGCTGATCTGATCTCTCTCGGTCCGGTTATACTTCACTCGCGTTTATATCGATCAGATCCAGCTCTCCTGATCGGCCTTTATAGAGAGCACCGATCAAAGTATTAAGAGTGAATATCGGCCGATAATGACCGGCGGCCGATCAATCAGCGGCTTTTATGTTGTAAAAAAATAAATAATAATAATCTCAAAATAATATTTTATTATTATTCTCAAAATTACGGGCCAAATATTATTGCTGGCGGGCCAACAATGGCCCACGGGCCGCCTGTTGCCGACCCATGGACTAGACCATCATGACCAAAACGGTCCCAAATGGACTCCCCCTTCCCATCTTCTGCCCAGCCTCCCTCCACCTTGAAGGACTCGCTGGAGGAGGCCCATTGGAAGTCAACGGGAAATGATTCGTTCAGGAAAGCATCTCGCTCAGTCGAAGTCATGGTGGCAAAATTTCTCCAAGTTTTGCAGTAGGTCAATGAACATGACAACGTTTGAAGATGACTTCTGTCACTTTGATGTGAATGACTGAAGATAAGAGGAACAACATGTTGACATTTATATCAGATGATAATACTAAGGCAATAATCCAACAACTATGCTTTGTCATAGACTGGGATAAACAGGTGGAACCAAGTTACATTATTTATTCTAAATTGGAGTTGGGGTAATATTGCAGATTGAATCTTTGTCATTTGTAATGTAATACCGTTTTGGGGTGGGGTCAGCTGGACGTAACATGTCTACCATGTCAAATCCAAGAACATGTTGGCCTCCATTGCCCAGTGCTGTAAAAGTATAGGAATGTATCACATTATGCAGGTACATTATAATCATTGTTATTCAATTATATTAGAATCCCTTGAACGAGTCATGTCAGTCTTCATATAGTCAATCTCAGGTATTAAATAAATAAATGACAGACAGAGGTTAGACCAAGTCATTATTTTGTGTCAAGTCTTTGCATGTCTCATGGTTCTCTCCTGCAACTTGAATAGCTAATGTCTAATTGGTTCAAGCAAAATACATCTGCTAATTTAAGTATTTAATTGCTGGGAATAAACTTTTGGCAAACTCGAAAAACACATGTTTTTAACTTTGGGCTTGGGGGAAGGCTTCAAGTGTTTTCAAGTCAAAAGGCACAAGTCGAAATGGAGTCACAAATTACTTGTTTTTAAGTCCAAGTCAGGTTGCATTCATCAAACTTGCGACTTAAGTCTGACTTTAATCCAAGTAATGTGACTCAAGTCCATAGACTTGCTATTTAACACTTCATAAATCACAATTTATCAGGATTTGTTGTATTCGTCATGGGAATGAAATCTTATCACTTATCCAAGGTTTTGACTCTTGATGGACCATCATTACCTTTTAATATGTTGGTATCTGACAGGAACTGATAAGAAGAACAGTCCATGAGGTCCACCTCATAAAACAGTATGGGTTTGTCTCCACACTTTCCCTGCAAGGAAACATTGATGTTCAATTGAAGTAAACAAAATCATTGGCTGAAATTTGTGTTATTTATACAGCCGAATACTGTAAATACCAAGACACTTTTCAGTTCCTCAGCCAGGTTTTGTCCTGCGGTGCAGTCATATTGAATTTTAATGGAGAGAAAATCTGTATATTTCTGAAATATAACAATAAACATATGTATGAGTGAAGCTGGATGTTAAAGGCATATTACCCTGGCACACACAAAATAATGAGCTTGTTTTGCGCTTGTCCATATGATCTCACCAGTAGTTGAGTGTCACTGATGATTGGGACTTTACTGGCCTTTACCCCAACTGATATTCCTCCATCTGAAACACATTGCATGTTAATTCAGTAGATCTGCACTTCTACTCCTCTGTTAGACATAAAAACACATTCTCCTTCCCCAATGTTTACTGCATTCCCTTATCACGACCCTTGGTACACATTGTAAACAGATATGGAAACCATTATATCATAAAGCACTGCCATAACAACCCAGCCTCACTGCATTTCATGTTATAGTCACGATATTTAATCTATTGATTCGTGTTCACCATCGCAATTTTCCCCTTTTTTTCATGTCACACAGAACGATTTTAAAAGCAATGTATTTCTATTGGTAGTATGTTTCGTGCCTGCAACACGTCTTTTTGTCCGGTCTTGGAAGACCAGAAGCTGTGTGGTTCATAAAAATATGTTCCTACTCAATATCAAGCCACGATAATTGTTTTTATTTTAAATCGTATAATGTCGGACTTGTTTTGCCCTCTGTGAGGAAAATAAATGGGTCTCACAGCTTCAGAATACTGAAATCTGTATTTTTTAAATCTTTTTTTCCCTTCTAATTTGTTTTCTAAATAACACACTGTTATTTACTCAACAATAACACACAATTATCCTTGTTTTTATTTATTTGTCTAATTCTATCATCTCTGGCTTTTTAGCCGTTCCTCAGGAAATGAATTTCAAAATAAAGTCACCGAAAACAAACGTAGGCCTATAAGGGACATTTCGAGCGTCATTGCGATACACACCACTAACCCACTGAACTGATTACCCAAGATCCTCAGCTAGAAGCTTGGTGATTGGATTGAAATCCGAAAAACATTTTAAAAAGAAAATAATAATACTTTATTCCGAGTGTGCTTGCTTTTCTCTTTGAAAGTCATCACATAACGGCATTGTAATACAAAGTTCAGCTGCATTAAATATTACACATCTGCCGTAGTTCTTTATTTATAGAGCCCTGATGAGAAGACTTCTGGACAAACTGGAAGAACTGCCACCGAAACGGAATATGTGACGTGGACAACATCTTCAATTTCTCTTCACACAATACGTCTCTTTGCAGTATCAACACTAATTCGGCTGACTTTTATATTTGATCCAATTGGTATATAGGCTGTATTTCTACCATAACGGTGCAGAGCTGATATAAAAGGACTTGTAGTTTTTAAAGATATTACTGATTTTCTTTGAATATAAGAATGTAAATACTGAGTTGAGAGAATAGTCAGGGGATTTGGGTGATGGGAGACACATCTATGGAATCAGAATTTCAATAGCTTACCATTAAATGACAGATATACCTTTCTGTCTGTGATGTTTTACAAATCAGATATTAGAAGTAAAACATGTGAAATAATATAGCAATATCTGTACAATTATGTGAAAAACATGAATAAGACAAGTGTCCTACACTAATAATACAACGTTATTATGGCTGTGTGTACCTTGTGTGCACCGCCTAGTGGTTAAAGCACGTTATTGAATTAGTTGTGTATATGATATGTCAATAAACCTTAGAAAATCTTGAAATCTTGAAAGGGATGTGCAAAATAGCCATTATATACAGTCTTTAATTAAATATTAGTAGAGAATAACGAGTAATGAATATACTTTAAAGGGATCTGCAGCACCAACTATCAAATATCTCACCTGATTGTTGGCACTTGACAATCACCTTCCCTGAATTCTACTCAGGTGTAACTAAAGCCTGATTTAAGAGTTGTTTATATTTCACATCATTAATCAGAATCTGCAAAGTAACTCAAATAAATGTAGTGGAGTAAAAATACCAGGTTAACCTCTGAATTGTAGTGGAGTAGAATTACAAAGTAATAATGAGCTGTCATGTGGGTATATATTAATGCTGCGCATTAAGCGATTTTCACCCATTTATTAATTATATGTTTTAAATTTGTACACACCAATTTGTTTCCTATCGCCTAAACCTCCAGGGGTGTACACAGTTTAATACTGTCAACTTCTGATTTTTGGAAAAACGAAAACGTCTTTTAAAACTACAATTCCCAGTAGAGACGTGCCATAGAACATGTTGCGAAACACAATAGCCAGCATGTGTAGTTCTGGGGGTGCGTCCGAGTCCAGTTTTGGATAGTCTGCCATGGTTTCGTTCGATTTCAAATAGCTGTTTGACGCTCGGCGTGACCTTGGCACACTGCCACTCCAACATCCAATCCCAGAGCTTGAAGATTAATCACAGGGACTGTAGTCCCAAACGATAGATGGGGATTATGGGTTGTGTAGTGTCTTCTTCCATCCTAAACTCCGAAATGTTTTTCGGATTTCATATCGCATTAACACCATATCCCAATGTGCATTGCAGCTAAAACATCCAATCACCGAGCTTAAACCATAGTTGAAGATCTTGGGTAACGTCTGTTTCCGGTTATTTTTATTTTGAAATTCAGTTCCTGACTGATGCCAAAAAAGCCAGAGATTATGGAATTAAACAAATAAATAAAAACAAGGATGATTGTGTGTTATGGTAAATGAGTAAATAACAGTGTGCTATTTAGAAAAAAATAACAAATTAGAAGGAAAAAAATATTTTTAAAAATGCAGATTTCAGCATCCTGAGGCTCTGAGCCCCATTTCTTTTCCTCACAGACGACACAAAAAGTCCGACATTATACGATTTAAAATAAAAACAATAATTGTGGCTTGATATCGAGTAAAACATGTTTTTATGAACCCCACAGCTTCTGGTCTTCCAAGATCCAAACGGACAAAAAGACGTGCTGCAGGCACGAAACACACTACCAATAGAATTACATTGCTTTTCAAATTGTTCTGTGTGACACGAAAAAAAGGGGAAAATCGTGATTGTGAACACGAATCAATAGATTAAATGTCGTGACTATAACACGAAATAGGAGGTCATAGGACCTGCAAGAAACATGACCTGGTCATCATACTTCTGGCACATGCAACTAGTGATCAAACTAGATAGAGAAGTTCCCCAGTAACGTATTGTCCGAGCAAGGGAAACTGAATGAACTATTGGATGGCTTAGCTTTATAGCAGAGCTGTTTACTAGCTGACACTACTGCTGTGATACTTTATGGCATGTTTGGTAAGAGTGGTCACGGCTTTGAATGCCTCTGATAAAATGGAGAAGGTCAATCACGAGGTAACAGAGATTTATGATTTAAGCTAAGGGATAACAAATGTGTAGAGGTCAAGGAGGAAAACATCAGACATGAAATGCCGTGAAACTGGGTTGGCCATAATTAGTGTTATTCAAATAAATCTGGATAACTTTGAAAACAGATTTTAAGAAAGCACACAATATGATGACAAGCTTAATTAACTCTACTTTGCTCCTGGTCAGGGACGTACACAGGTACAGGCTAATGCCGGGCAACAGCCCCTTTGCCATTTTTGGCAGACCTGCCCCTCTGGAGTAGTGTTAATTTCGTTGACTAAAACTATGACGAAATATGTTCGTCAACGACCTTTTTTTCCATGACGAAAACGAGACGATGACGAGACGGCACTGACGGCAGTAAACAATAACTGTAACGAAATCATCATGCAATATCGTTGACGAAAAGTGACGAGACGAAAATGTAGTTTACTAAATAAAAACTATGCCAAAATCTCTCTTTACTTTCGTTGACGAAAAATGAGGAGACGAAATATTATCAAAGATAAC